ATAGAAGAAATCGAAGGGATCGAGTACTTCGTTGTGAACTCGTCATTGAAACTGATCGCTCTACGCGGGAGGTATACCGTTCCTTGCATCTTATTCATGAACAATCATCTACTTTTGAACATTATGTATATCTTTAATTCACTTATTGACTTGAAATAACACCGTGAAATTGTAAGTCAAAAATTAATAATTTTTTAAGAAAAAAACAATATAATTAGTTGAAATAAAGAACCGTTTGATTTTTTGATGTTGAAAAATCAATATATCTATTTTTGAATAGAAATATGTTATTATGTCAAAAAATTAGAAATTCTGATATGTATTATTATTTTTTATGAATTCTAAGTAAAATTTGATAACGATATATTTGTATCTTTTTTTTTAATAAAATTTAAGATCTTGTTATATTTTCTGAATTATTGTTACTGTGTTATTTTCTGTTTAACGTCACTTTGATAATGTAGAATTTTATGCACTTAGACCCTTATCTTAGATCTTATCTTTTATCTACAAGAAGATAGCTAGAAGATACTCGACAGCTTTGCTATCGAGAGGAAACTAAAACATTTAAGCGAGTATCTATTGAAAGTTTTATGTTCTATTCTGTGCTCATCAGAGACTTTTACAAGAGTGATTCTCAGACTAACAGAATTCTCAAGTTAAATATAGTGAAATTTTTTACATAGATTACAAATAGATTCTGTTGAAATTAAAATAAATGACAATCTTCTGAGATTATTGTTTCTTATAAAAAAATTCTTATTAAATACATAAGAATTAAGAATTTAATTAGAAAATATTTTTAAAATTCTTGAGCCTCATACACGAATTTTTCCGAAATCTTTTTATATTTTCTCAATAATAGACAGTACAATTATATTCGACATAAAATGAAATTTTGCAAAATGTCGGCATATAAATTTCTTTGGCAGCTCAAAGAAAATATTATTTTAAATATTGCAATTCCTGAAATAAGATTTAAATTTAATTTACATTGAATGAATGACGTATATGTCATTCATTTCGAGATCAATCCGTTATTGTATAGTAGGGACGTCATAGGGAAAGGGTCAAGCGGTGGCACTGCACGGCTCGATAGGAAATCAAAATTGATATTCGGTTCTCTCATTCGTCTTGCCGTATTCCTCTTTATAGATATCTGATAAGAAGAAGGAGACAGCATTGAACATGGCTTCTTTCGGATCCTTCATTCACTATCTTACTGAATTCGTACCATCTGGTCTTCCACCTGCGCCCAGTCAACTGCTTCTTTACCAATGCAACCAGAGCAGGTCCGGTTTTCATCCCGGGTCTCTTTCAGCATTTTATTCACGACGACAAGGTAAGGTAGCAAGTAAGATAATATCGAAGCATGTTTAAAGGTCCGCCGTTCTTCCCGTTTTCTTATGCAAATAAAATTTCGCACTACGATGTTGAAATAACCGAAGACTTCAGTGCGAATGAACAAGAGTTTATCTTTTTCGATAAGACTATAAGAAAACTTGGAGAAGTTTTATGTTTTATGTATAAGGATTTTCGGATTTCGTATATACAGATATTTCATAAAATTATTTTATAATTTTTCAAGCAAGAAATCGAAGCTTATTATATAATAATATTCTATAAAAGATTTTATAAATTTGTGATTAATCATTTTCACAGATAAAGAAAAGTAAATTTGAAATTTATGTAACGTTAATGTACGTACATGCTTAAGTAAAATAATAATTCGATATTAGCTACATAATTGCTTCTCTTTTTGTAAATAAAGCCGATATGACTCCGTGCAAATTAAATTAGCATAATAAGCTTTTTCGAACAATGGAACTACTAAATTCCATTAATGTAACATTATATCATTCTACACTAGCTTTGAACATTCCTACAATTGTTTTAAAACAAAAGAGTAAAAATCACAAAAATAAAAAAATTCCATCTGCTTTTTAAAGACTTATATTAACATTTAGTATATTCAAATGATATAAAGAAATTATTAGAAATATAACAATACTAATTAAATATATAATTTTAGAAAGTTTATATTTTTATATTCAAAAATATAAACTATAATAATGGAAAAATAAAGATTTTTTTCAATTCTTTCTAAAGCTTTTATATATACTAACATTTTAAAAATAAAAATATTATAATAAAAAATAAAATTATAAGTGGTTCCGGCCGGGATCGAACTGGCGACCTTCTGCGTGTAAAGCAGACGTGATAACCGCTACACCACGGAACCTCCTTGGTTCTCGTTGATCACCATATCTATGACAAAGTACTTATTTTTGATATATCACTTTTATTTCTAAATAATTATATTATCTATTACAAAATTATATAATTAAATGAAATGTACTTTCTTATATAAGTTAAAAATGGACAAAATATCTAAAATTTTTAAGATATTAATTTATTATTATTCGTACTCGATCGATAAATATCGTGGCTTTATTTCACATCGTACAGATGGCAACAATTTATACATATGTTAAGTGAGAGATTACATTTTTTTTACAATTTCAATTTTATGTCTTTTTTTCTCTTTTTAATTTTATAATTAAATTTGAATTTCAATACTATATTTTATTCTAAACAATAAAAATGTAATAATAAAAATAAAAAAATGATGTTTTTAATATAGTTTTTATTTTATTTTATATTTTAATATGAACTGAAATACATTGTATTGTTTATTACATTGTTTATGATATTGCTGAATGAAAACTAGATTTAAAATGTAAATTACAGAATCTTTTTACTGTTTCGTACATTTTATACAGGTTTTAATACAAATATTTTTATTCAAATTATATTTGTTTCATAAAATAAATAAAGTAAATAAACTTTATTCCTGTAAATGTGTGTAATATAATAATTGGATAATAATTGGAATTAAAAATTCAACTTTAATACGAAGTGTATTAAATACATTTAATATAATACATTTAAATGTATAATTATAAACATATAGCACACATGAATACACACATATACATATATATATATATATATATATATATATATATATATACTATATATAATAAATT